ATATATATATATATATATATATAATATAATATATAATATATAAATATATATATAATTTATATATATATAGTATATATATAAATTATATATAGTTTATATATGTATATATGTATTTATATATATATATATATATATATATATATATATATATATATATATATATATATATATATATGTATATATATATATATATATATATACATATATATATACAACCCTCGGAATTAGGAAAAATGAGGTCGGCAATGATTTGTCGATCTCAATCTTTTAGAGGTCGGCATCAGGTTAGCAAAAATTATATGATACAAAGGTCTGACTATAAAACATAAAAATGAGCTCGGCAAATTTTGACCAATCTAAAACACTTTCAGGTTGGCAGTTAGGTCAGCATTGCCAAATGCCGACCCTAATTCCGAGGGTTGTATATCTATATATATATATATATAGGGGCTATTCTAGGCTGTTTTTGATAGCGTCAACTGTATTTGGGTGCCGCCCAATTTAAAATCTAAGGATCTTCTTTTATTTTTACATTTTTTACAGCATTTTTTTTTTTTTTCATTAAAAAACACCTATATTTGGCAATATTTCTGCTAATTTTCTTCAGGACAGGTGGTACCGCCACCCAAATTTTTTTTCTTAGAATATTCACTGATATACAGTCTTCTCTGTTTGAAATTTGATGCCAGCGCCTGACAAAGTGCTAGCAGGATGGTCATTTTTAAGTTAGCCAGGGTGATTTAAAAAATTTATTTCTCTTATTTAAATTAAAATAAAAATAACTTAAAAAAAAAACTGGCAAAAAAAGGCCACATTTCATAAAAGTTCAACAATGATTAAAAAGAAAGCGCTTTGGCTAGCGCTTTTTTATGTGCTTTCTAATGTTTTTGCAGGTGTATGGGCGAGCACGAAAAGACCTCAGCGTGAAAGCGCTGGCTAAGCGGAGAAGATCGGATATATGTATACATATGTATATATATATATATATATATATATATATATATATATATATATATATATATATATATATATATATATATATATATTTATATATATATATATCAGGGGCTATTCTAGGCTGTTTTCAACAGCGTCAACCGTATTTGGGCACCGCCCAAATTAAAAATTGAGGACCGCTGTAAAAATACAAGGAGTACCGCTGCTCAAATTTTTTTTCTTGAGTAGTCCCAGTATATATATATACATATATATATATATATATATATATATATATATATATATATATATATATATATATATATATATATATATATATATATATATATATATATATTTTGTTGTTTATTAATTTGAAATTTAATTAATACTTATGCACTTTAGGTTCGAATTGTTGACTGTTTTCTAGTTGAAGGACCAAAAATATTTTACCGTGTTGGATTGTATCTGTTGAATCTTTTTTATACCCATTCCTTGACATTTAAGCACCTTTGTAAGTAGTGTTTCAGAAAACCATATAATTCTTACTAATAATGTTATGATTGTTTTTGTTGTTGTTGGTGTTGGTGTTATTGTGTTTATTATTATTGCCATTCTAAGATAAAAGCACATTTTTTGGTAATCAAACTAAAAAAAATGTGTTATGCATTTAGGGTTGCAAAAAAACTAATTATTTTGAAAAAAGCAATTGTCATTTTACTTGAGTAAATTATATTTTATAATAACATTACTGCTGTAATTTATTTAATGTTTATATATTAAAACAAACTTTGTCGCTTTTTCTACGCCCATGTTGTTTCTTAACTTGGAATGAACAAGGTTAAAAGTTGAAAAAATTTTTCAATTCTAGCATTATAAGCTGGTGCCTTATACAAACCTTCAATATCCATGATAATGTTGCAGTCCAAAGATTTTAAAGATCTTCACCATTCTATTGGTGATAGAGTTGATAAAAATGATTACATGCTTATCAGCTTTTTGAAAATTTCAACAGTGTCATTTATTTTTGTTTGATCTCTTTGCAACTTATCTAGAGCAACTCCAATTGGTTATAATATTTTTAACAAAAAATTAGTTTGGTTTAAATTGATATTTTTTTGCTTGGTTTAAACCATTGGTTTAAACTATTTGGTTTAAACCATTTGTTTAAACCATTTGGTTTAAACCTATTAACCCTGTATGCATTAAAATGCATTATAAATAAATGTACTATCTATTATAGGTATATAGTTTTTTTTTAATTTGCAAGTTTTATGAAATAATGGTATGAAATAATGTATAACATGTCAAACCAAAATTTGTTTAACTTTTTTTTTTTAATGACTTTATTTCAAAAAATATATACTTATACAAGCTTGACATTTTTCTTAGGCAATAACTCTAGGTTATAGTTGGTCAACATTATTAGCATTCCAGCCATCCATGTGCAATTCTTGAATTTCCCCATTATTCTCGTAGCACATTTGTGACTGATTAGGCATTGTGTAATAAGTAGGGTTCCTATATCCCCAATTTCTCCGGAGATCTCTAGATTTTAAGGCAAAAAATAAGGCTCCAGGGGATTTCAGAGAAAAACATGAAAACTCTTCTTTTTGATTGTTCCTATACAAAATTTCATATTAGCTACTTAAATTTGGAGTATATATAGAACTAAAAATGAAAAAATTTATTAAATGTAAAATGTTGAACATTAAGATTATAAAGTATTTTGGTTGCTACTACAAAAGAGATTATTTAAAGCAAAAAAAAGTAAAAGAATAGCTGCACTTTCAATAATGTCGCCCAAATAAAATGCTTTCTAATCTTAAAAAATGCAAAATTTGCCCAGCTGGAACATATCTTTCTGTTTCTCACAAAGATAAACAAATTTCCTTATGTTAATCTAATGCGTCTTACAATGATAGATAGGTCAAAGGTTATGCAAGTTGTATAACATTTGACTTATTAGTAGTCCCAATACCAAGGGCTTTCAAAGGTCTTAATTAAAGGTTTAATAGGTCAAAGGTTATGCAACTTGCATAACCTTCGCCCTATTAGTAGTTCCAATACCAAAAGCTTTCAGTTGAATGAAACTAGACAGTATCCCTTGGGATCAGATTCAGAAGGGAAAGCCTTTTTTCAAGTTAATAAATCATTGATTAATATTCTTACATTGTTAAGTTTTTAAAAAGTAACAAAGTAAAGGTGAAAGTATTTACAGAAAATAGGAAAATGAAAAGAAAAACACACACAAACAAATTTGATTATACAACAAGTTAAAATTTTCGGACTATGTTAAGGTCAAGTATTTTAGTAACCTGCCAGGTAAATCCTGTAGTTATGGGCTGTTGAAAATAGTGTTGAAAACACCTTTGTAGAGATATTGTTTTCGCTAATTGCTTGCCAACAGAAAGAAAAAAAATTATCAGTAATGCTTGTTAAAAGTATTTTATGCATAAAATATAATTTCAATCATAATCCTGTCATGAGTTCCATAAATATCTGTTACCAAACAAAAACTTATTGAAAAAGACAGGTTCAACAAAAAAGTATATTTGGTATGATTCATCTTCCTCTGTTTAAACTTTATGGTTCCGCTCTGTTCTCATAATCATACAGCATTTATCTTTCGTAAGTCTTTTAAAATGGTATATTTTAATATAGAATAAGAATTTTATGAATAATTAAGTGTATTTCTTGTTCAATGATTGTAAGACAACAATAAGATTGAATGTGAATGTTTTGTGATTAAAGTTAGGTTAATTTTAATCACAAATTTAATCAGCATTGTTGTTTTTATTTCACAATATTATTATTAAACAGTGTTCATTACATAAGTGTTCGCAACATTATTTAGCAGTTTTCAAACTAAAAGAAATAAGAGGAAGAGTTGTCATTAAGTTCCCTAGTAACAGCATTTGTAGCCTAGTAACATACAGCATTTGTGCAATATTGGTACAATATTTATCTCTATGTTGGCTAAATATTGTTAACAATATTGCGCCAATATAAATTTTCCACATTTTAATATATATATATAAAATCTCTCTGCTTAGTACTGGAACCTTTTTTTTCAAAAACCTCTTGTAAAATCCTCTATTATCCTTTATAAAGTTAAAAATGTGGTAAAATCTGCTCTTTAACTCCCCTTTTTTATTTTTTCATTACTTGATGGTAGTATAATTTTAAATTTCATGATCTGCAAAACTGGTTAATGTCTGAAATGATATTTGGGTTGTAAAAAAAATCAGTTTTAACAAATCTATCTCACCTAACATAAAAAATGGCATTGTTGACCCCTTGTCCAAACCCCAGTTATGTGGAAACATGGATGTTAAACCTATTAAAAAAATCATTTAAAATCCTCTGTTTTTATTCAAAATTTTGTAGTTGTGAAAAAAATCCTTTTAATTAAATACAAAATCTCATCTAAAATCCTCTAATATCCTTTTTTTCTATAAAAATTTTATGTGCCCACTCTGGTAAGGCACAGTTCTTAATTAAACTTATCCCTAATAATTCAAGGAAGTTTATAATTTAAATTTTTTCCTAGAGATAATGATAAATATTTCTTTTCAATTCCAATTTTTTTTTAAATCAATGTTTATTAATTGCAATTAATTTTTTTACTGTCTTCTATTTAAAATATCAAATATTAATGAACAATTTAAAAATGTTAAAGTTTCAGTTAAAACATTTTCTTACTGTCAAAAGAACTGGATGTCAGATTTAGTGTCAAAAGAACATTTTCTTACTGTCAACTGCATGTCAGATTTAGTGTGTCAGAATAAGTGCTATTTTTCTATAACAAATAAAAGTAGATTTTTCAAAAAATGTATATCTTTAATTTTTTCCAAGGCCGCATGACTATAACTGTGCTTCTTTATATTTAAAACATATTTTTACTTTAACTGTAAATTAAAAATTCCAGGTTTCAACAAACTATCAATTTCTTAAATACAGTCGGTATAAACATGTATTTATAGATTTAAAAAACAAATTAATATAATCTGAAGTGTTAGTTAAAAGGTATCCAAATTTTAGTATGCAGATATTTGAGACAGTTTATATTGGTTACGGGATTGTAAGATTTACAGTGTTATGCAAATTTGTAGTGGTGTAGTGGTTGAGCGCTCGCTTCATAAGTGAGAGATTCCGAATACAATTTTCACCACATCCCTGGTACTCAACTTGTTTCTCGGTGCAGCAGCCTTGTTTATCAAGGTTTGTGTTTTGAAGTTATAGAGTTGAGAGAGGGTTGTAACCACTATTAAGTAGCCTTCTCATTTATTGCGACCTTCTCACCTTTCTCATCAGGGAGGTGTGTTAGTATCAAAAAAAAATTAACCTTCTCACCAGGCATGTAAATTAACATTAAAAAAAAAAGTCATATTTAGTTTCTTATCTTAAAATGCCTTTAAACATAATATTTTTTTCATTAAATTTCATTTTCATTAAATATTTAAATATATTTGATTATTTACAAAAATAATTACATATTATTTTTTCATTAAATATTTCAATGTTTCATTATCCATTGGATAGCATTTACAAGCAATATTTAGTTGATTCGATAGCAAATAATAACATATATACAGAAAGAATATTGTTAAGTTGCAAAAAATGAAAAGACCACTCTCCAACTTTATATTATGAGGTTAACTTGTCTACTTAGAGACATTTAGGAAACTTAAAACTACTAGTAAAGAAAAAATCAAGCTACATTTGCATTTTTATGTTTTAACTTGCCAGTGAAATTGTAATAATATATAAATTTTAAATGTTGTATCTATTTTGAAATGTTTCATGTTGTTTCATTGGATTTCTTGTTTAGAAATATGTAAAGGCAGATATTTCAATCTTTCTGTTGCACACAGAACATAGGCAGGAGCTGAAAAATCATTTTTTTAAATGCGGTGTATTTATTAATAACATGCAATTTGATCTTAGGCCAGGAAAGGAAATAACATGCAAAATTTATTGTAAGGAAATTTTATGAAAGATATTTGGAAAAGAATGAAAATCTGAGATCTTATTTGTTGACCTTAAAAAAGATTTTTACACTGTACCAAGAGGGGTAATGTTATGGGCTTTGAAGTATTTAAATATTGACTGGTAACAGTTATCGTGACTTTGAATGAAATTGACACAAAACAAATGGTGAAAAGAGTGATGCTCAGTGCATCAAGGTTCAGTACTTAGAGTTTACAGAATTCAAAGTTTTCTCTTCAGAATGCCAATTTTTTTTACAGAATACACGTTTTTTTAACTGAATACAATGATGATGGTGAATCATAATGACTATGGTGATGTAAAATGTAAAAGTTCTATAAGTTGGAAAAAATTACTCGCAGTTCTTGCAGGTTTACAAGTTTATGTTTTAAACTAATTTTTTTTTGAATAGTTTGTTCTTCTCCACATGTTCTTGTTGCTACCATTGGACAGTATATGTTATCATTGCAAATTGCTCCAGATATTTTTATCAAAGTATGTTCTTAAGTTTTTAATGATTCATTTTTTAAAAATATTTTTTGCTAATTTTAAAACTTAAAAGAATATCTTAACTGTTTTTTACTTAGTAATTAAATTTTAATTTTTTGTTTAATTATTTGAATACTATATTTTTATTTTTTATTTAATGTATTTTATATTTATTTGTACTCTATTATATGTTTAATTTTTTTATAGTATACATTCTTATTACATTATACATATTATATTTTTTATTATAATATATATTTTCTATATTTATATAAAAAATATATATTATAATAAAAAAATCTACATTATTAATATAATATATATTTTTTTAAATTAGATTTAATTATTATTGACTTATTATAGAGTGTTTTGAAAATATCATTGAAAAGCAAGCAGTTAGTAAAGTTAAAACAAACAAACATGGCTATGAGTAATTCACATAACCTTGATTATACAGAAGATCTGATAAGTCAACAAGTTGTTACTATTAATCTACACGAAGTTTCTGACATCATTGATCCAATTCATGTATGGTTTTTATTATTTAGTTATACATATATTAAATATACTAATTTAGATTAATTTTCATCATTATCATAATCACTGTCATATTATTTTAACATTATCAGTTTTATAGCATTTCCTTCAATTTATAGTGTATTCTTTAATATAACTTTTTTTTTTAAATCACTTAATTTTTGTTAAATAATTTGATAATAAAATAATAAGATAATGAAATGATAAGAAAATAATAATTAAAACATATTTTGCATCTCAATTTGAAAAGCGAGGGATGTGCTTTAATTTTTCAGAAAAATTTTCTATAAGTAAAATTTAAAAAAAAAAAATTTTTTTAGTTGTAGCGTCTTTCATATCTAGATACTGCTTGGTCAGAAATTTCCATATAATTTAAAAAGAATTTTGAATAAAAATGTTATTTAATTTTAAAAAATTAGTTTTTTTTCCTCAATTTTTCTTCTATTTTTTACAAAAAATTAAGTTCCTTGTAAATATGTTATAACTTATAACACCAGGGCTCAATTTTATGGTCGCACATCAGACATCGTCCAACTAAAACCTCAGGTTGTCCGATCAATTACCAAAATAATTTGACATTTTGACCGAGGGGATTTAAGTTCTACAAAATAAATACTTTATTATATATATATATATATATATATATATATATATATATATATATATATATATATATATATATATATATATATATATATATATAGTTAGAAGTAAAGTAAATTTAAAGCTTTAAAATAAAAATTACTTTCAAACTTATCTTTTGAAATGTTTTATTAGTTACGTATTTTTATTTTTCATAATTGTTACATTGATTAGTTTAATAAATGAACAATTTTTATTTAAATTATTGAAAAGAGAAATTAAATTATTGAAAAGAAATAAATATAACATTTTTAAATTGTATAAACATTTTTTTCAAAAAGTTGCAAAAAATTTTTTTAAAAAATGTAGCCTTTTAAAAATAGTTAATTTTTAATCATTTCATGCTTTGATTATTAAGTCAAGTTTAATAAAAAACTTTTAAACTTTACAAAAAAAAAGTTAAGCAATTAAATCATAGAAAGATGAACTTATTTATAACTTAAAAAAAAAAATCTTCTAAAAGATTTCTAGAAAGACTTGGAAAAATAGTTTCAAACGTTTAAATTTATCATAAAAAATACATAGGGGTCGTCCATAAATTAAGTAACGCAAAATTTCACAATAAACAAAACAAAAATGATAAAAATTTTCACTTGCAGAGTCTTAATTTAAATTAAGACTCTGTTTGTCACAAAAAAATGCATTGGTAAAGTAATTAACTTGAGTTTTTCTTCTTTGCAATATTTTTTGTTTGTTGATAACTTTTAAAAAGCTAACAATCTTTTGTAAATTCGCAATTTTAAGAAATAATGAAAAAATATATATAAAGATATTTTTTTTCATTTATACATATGTAGAGAAAAGAAATAAAATATTTATGTTAAATGATAATAAAAAATGTAATAATAAAATTTAATTATTTAATTTAAAAAAAAAAAAAAAATTGAAACAAAATAGACAATAGAAAATAACAATTCTAGATTGGTTTTTTCTTAATTAATAAAATAAACTTGTTTTGCTCTAATTTATTTTATTGTGGTAGTTAAAAAAGTTAATGCCTTATGATGTCAAAATCACAATCAATCAGTCAAAACCCCATACATTGCTCTATTAGGAGCAACATGCAAAAGATGGTTTTAACCATCTTTTGCATGTTGTATGTGTGTATGTATGTGTTTATATGTATGTATGTATGTATGTATGTATGTATGTATGTATGTATGTATGTATGTATGTATGTATGTATGTATGTATGTATGTATGTATGTATGTATGTATGTATCTATGTATGTATCTATGTATGTATCTATGTATGTATCTATGTATGTATGTATGTATGTATGTATGTATGTATGTATGTATGTATGTATGTATGTATGTATGTATATATGTATGTGTGTACAACAATAATTCAAACAATATTGTCATATTTGTGATTGAATTTAATTTATTATTATAGTTGTCATAATTTTTTTATTTATAAATTTTTTATATTTATATAGTGGCAAATTGTATGTGGCTGGCTACCATTACGAATGCAAATTAAAAAACCTTTTTTGTTGTTCACAACCAATAATGATGGTTGTAGGTAAGTTCCTTGTACATTTAAAATTTTAAAAACAAAGTCTTAATACTTGATTTAATTTAAGGTCTAAATACAGAATATTTAATTTGTGTTTTAAAGCTTTTGTTCATGTTTTATCAAGACCTATTTACATCATCAGATAAAAAAGTGTCTGAGCATAATTAATTATTTTTTTTGCTATATAAAAAGTTTAATAGTTTTTGCAATAGTTTGAAAATGTTTATAAAAACAATCAAATTTTTAATGTCTTGAAAATTTTTTTATATATGTAGAGAAATTATAATTCGTTTATATACAAAATCAAATCAAATTATTTAACATTTCAAGGATATTTACAATAGTACGAGTACTAATATAAAGAAAATACCTAATACAATATATCAATATAAACAATTAGAAATATATTAATAGTAATAATAATATTATATTAATAGTGTAAATACTACTAACAATTAAAACAACAAAAAACATTAAATCAATATATATATAGCAATAATAAGTAAAAATGATAGTAAAATAGAAAATAAAATAAAAATAAAAATAATAAAAAAGTTAATATTACTATCATTTGAAAACAAAATAATAATGATAAGAATAATAATCATAATATAAAATTCAATCATAATAAAAAAGAATAATAATCATGATTAAAAATATTTAATAACGAAGGTAATAAAAATAAGATAAATAGAAATGAAAGAAAATAAATTGATGATGACGATAAATATAGGTTCAAGAAAATCCTCATCAATAACAATGATAATATACTAACAATAAGAATAGCAAAATGAAAAAATATATAAAAGGAAAAGCAAAATAAATAACCAAGGAAATAAGAATAAGAAAGGAATTTGAAAAACTCAAAGATAAAATGAAGTGAAAAAAAGACTTATCAACTTGTGTTGATGTTTTAGTTTTTGACATACAGTATTTTATATATATATATATATATATATATATATATATATATATATATATATATATATATATATATATATATATATATATATATATATCAAGGAAGGCATTTGAATGTACACCATTATACGACCATGCAATTAATATTTTGTTTTGACTATTTGACCTCGGCTGTTAACATGTTTTAAAATTTGAATATTTTAAAAATGCACTAAAGAAGCTTATCTACACTGTTCTTAAATTAACCACCAGGTTAAAACTCTCTTTGCTCCTGATTTTTTTGCCTTTAATCAATAATATGCAATCATATATGGGTCAAGCTGCCTTTGCTCCATCAAAGTTCCTCTTAAGAAATAAGAGTTTTGGCTCTATCAAAAGAGTAGTCAGAAATATACATTGGCCAGATTGACCAAGATGAAACAAAATGACTTTAAAAGTAGAAAGTTTGTAAATAATAGAAATCCAGTTTGGAAAAAGAACTTAAAAACATGCCTAGCTACGTCATTGACAATAACTCTTTCCTGCGATGAAGAAAGCAGTCGTGGTAATGATGAAGAGAAATATTACAAATGATCCCAAAAATTTTATACAATAAACGCCATATAGCGAGAACCCAAATGTAGAATGCTTTTTTCAGCAAGCCAAAGACTTGATTTGCTGTCTCAACTTGATTTTCTAATTATAAGTTGTTTGAGACCATGACACCAAGTCTCTTTTGATCTTGGTAACTGTGAGTTGTTTTCAAGTTAAATCATCAATGCACATTAAAAAACTTGGTATTGGCTTTTTGGTTCCGCAGCCTATGTGTATTACCTTGCAAATAGATATTAAAAGGCATGTTCTAAATTCTGAGCTATTCCACAGCTTTGTCTTTGTCATCTTGCAAGATCAACAAGTCTTCTTCACATTTAATGATGGCTGTGATTTTGCTATCGTCCACTTATAATTTTATATGATGCCCAATGTTATTTGGAAGATCGTCGATGAAAAGTAGGAATAATAGTGGAGCTAGAACTGATCCAGAACTTCATTTGAGACAGGTACCCAATTTGATGTATCCATTCATTAGTAACTGTTGTTGGTAATCTAAAAGTCATACTTTGATCCACTTTAATGCACATATCTTGTATACTCTCACAATTAGATAAATATCAATTGTGAATAGTTGGATTTTGCAGGCAATTGAGGTTGTGACACAGGTCTGTAGTTCAATATGTCGATATTGCTATCTTTTTAAAAATTGTTGTTCACTGCTTTGGCTACATTTTTTGATGCAGCCACATGTGTCTTTCAAAGTACCAGATGAGTGTGTCAACCAGTATGTCAACTGAAGTGCCGGATTAGCATGTTTTTTGTGTGTGTCAACTGCAGCAATAACTTCTGGTGTAATCCATATCTTTTTTTTTTTGCAGCAAAAAATGTTATTGTTGTCGGGATGTGATACAATGAAGTGTTATTGCTTCATTGTATTTTTGACAAAAATGTTGTAGCTGTGATCTGTTAAACAACCATAAAATGTTTCAGTCCATTTGATGGCTGTCGTATGCTGAGACTGACTCATAATCTTTTTTACTCCAAGTTAAATACCAGTTGTTTGATATTGCTTTAATGTTCTGGCTAGTCATAGCCATTTGTATGATAAGACATATCAACTGTCCCTTGTTCAATTGAGTTTGAATTCACTTAACTGATTTCTGACATTGTCATGTCATTTTTTGTGAAGATGGCAAATCTGCCTCCTCTGCCATTAATCCTTGCAAACAAAGATGGTAATTCCTGATGCTATACTTGCTTATTAATCAACAAAAATCTAGTATAGTAAGCAATTTAACTTGGATTTTTGGAAGGTTTATATTCAATGGGGTGATTTGGTAACATAAAATTTTTAATAGATAATACATGTATAATAGATAATAATAAAACAATATAGTTTCTTATATATTAGTTAATAATAATAAAGATAATAAAAATACTTAAAAAGATATCAAATTTGATTTAAAAAATTTGATGCAATTATATCATTAAAAATCAATAAGATTTTTAACAAATCAACAATAGAAACATTTTATTAATTTCTTTAAATTGATATATTTGTATCAGATTTTGATACAAATATATATCAATTTAATTTTTGTAAAAAAATATCAAATTGAATTTGATATCTTTTTAGTAATTTTATATAAAATTACTAAAAAGATATCAAGTTCATTATCTATTCATATCTAAAAAGATATCAAGTTCACAAAGGCCTTTGTTATTTTCTAATTGACAATACTTTTTATCATTATTTAGATCTAAAGTATACATAAATAGACATTTACACAAGTTGGAAGGGCATTCAGTTGAAAAAATTACTTAAAGGGATCCCAAACTCCCAACACATGTTGTGTTCATATTAAAGATAATGTTATAAAAGGTTTGAACCAAGTTTTTTTATGATTAAAAATAAGTAATGAATGCATACCGAGAAAAACTAATGTTGTTGTTTTAGCCGAAGCTCGCCTTCTTCATTTTTTTCAATAACTTGGTGTCTTCAAATTATATGTCGTAATCTACAGACTTTGGTGATTCCTTTGAAGCGCGTTTAATTCTTAAAAGTGTAATTGCATAAAGATGCGTTTTTCTACTTTAATTCAAAAAGTATGATGTACTATTTTTTTAACATACAGCAAAACAAATTTATTTGTATTATTTTTCCAAACATCGCAAAAAAAAATTTTTTAAAAAGTAAAAACAATAAATTATTTTTATTTTATAGGAGCAACTTATTTTTTACAGATATCTAAATAATTTTTAGATTTATATATCTTACTTATATTTCTATTGTTTTTAAATTAAAACAAATATTAAAACTTTATTACTTTATTTTAAATTAAAACTATTATTACCAATCTTATGATTTTCATACGAGTATTTTACATTATATAGAATGTTATATATACGGTCTCTCGTTTTTGTGCAAGAGAGCGCAGTATTATATATTCTGACTCTTACTTATTTTTATTTAAACAATGGGAACTATTTTCTAACTTCTCCGGTTATTTTTACGCTATGACATTTTTTGTTTTCCCGTCGAAAAAAAATATTTATTTCATAAACTAACAGTATTAATTAGAGATGTTTGATGAATTATTAACTTTTTTTATTATAAAAATTTTTTGATTATGCTGATTTAGTTTAAATTGCTAAATTTGCTGAATACGGATAAAAATTTGCTAAATTGGATACGGATAAGAAGGAAATATCATTTTTTTTTACAGTTAATTTTTGATAATGAAATTTTTAAAACATCAGCAACTCCATACCAATTAGAACCTGTTAAGGTTATGAAAAAAAAGTACAAGAATACACTAAACAATACAGTTGACAGTATTATCAGGTATGAAAATTTGTGAAAGGATATGTGAGATCCTGGTTTTGCATTAAAACTACAATAAATAGCAACACAAGTCGACATTATAAATTTTGATTATTAGTTTACTGTTCAATATTTTATAACCATCAAATTAAAAACATGAAGTTCGTATATTTTTGCCCATGTTATATAACTAATATTTAACAAAAATATGGACAAATTATTATTAAATAACGCAATAATTAACAAATGAATTAATGGCAATAATCCAAGATAGATGGTAATTTAAATTGTCAAATGTCATAACACACGTTAAAAAACATATTATATTTAGTATTTTATATTTAATATTGTTGTATTTGGCATTTGTCTCTTAACATGAAAAATTAAAAATTTTTAAAAACACAATTAACAAGTACAAATTTTCAAGCAATTTTCTCTTCCAATTCTCATTTATTCAAAGAAAAGTTACTATTAAACTTTTATTTCTCTTGTCTAAAAAAAGGAAAAATATATATATTCTATACAACTCTTATTCATTCAAAGTTTAATTACGCTAAACTTTTCTTTCTCTTTTGTTCTACTCTTTTATAAAAAGAGCGCGCAATTAAATAAAAGCGTTTCCTTTTTAACATAAAATTATACTTTGAGATAAAATTAAATTAGAAATAAATCGACAATGAGCAAAGCAACTAACAGATTAATCTGGGACTATTTTAATATTAATGAAAATAAACAACATTACCAACAACAATTATCAAATAAACAACACAATCTTGCATAATTTTAGGGGCTTTTTATTTTTATTGCTTAGTCGTTCTAAATAATAAGTAAATTTAGTTCAAGTTAATATTTCCAGTTGCATTATAATAAAGAAATGATGTTTAATGTTGAACTTTTTATTTAGTTATTTATTTTTTACTTACATTTGTTATAAAAAACCTTAGAATCCTGTCATTAAAGTAATTTGTTTTAAATAAATTTCGACGTGATTATTCAAACTAATTTTTTTCGTTTGACTTTCCGAATTTCATGCAAAGCAAATTGAAACGAAATATCGTCTAACCAAATAAAAATGCTGTTACTAATTTTATACGGTAATTAATGTAAAACAATTTTTTTTAGTCTTGATTGAGATAATAAATATAATTTATAAACATTAAATTTATGGCGTAATAACAATTTATAACAACGAACCAGCATAAAATATTTGAGGTTTTTAATATCTTTTTAAATGTTAAAAATCGAAGAAAAAAAAACTAAACAAATAATCAAAAAAATTTTGAATAAAAATAAATAAAAATATTTCCAGAGTTTCATTTGTTAAAAGTCTACCGTGACATCAAATACTAAAACTTTTATGAATTAAATGCGCTTTAATTCAAGTCTGTAGATTTCGACGTATAATTTGAAGACTCCAAGTTGTTGAAAAAAAATAGAGCTTTGTTGTTTTAGCTTAAGGCGAGCTTAGGCTAAAACAACAACATCAGTTTTTCTCAGTATGCATTCATTATTTATTTTTAATCAAAAAAACTTGTTTCGAACCTTTTTTTTTAAGATTATCTTTAATATGAACACAACATGTGTTGGGAGTTTGGGATCCTTTAAACTCTTTTATATGCCAATTTTTTTATTTCATAGAAACTATAAAATATCTTAAAAACTATTGATTTCTTTACTGGATTAAATTTAGCTTGAAGACTTTGTACAACAAATGTGAAGGCGAAGAACAAACATTGATGATTTTCCGTACTGCAAGTGGAGAGGTAATAGTATGTTAGCTTTAATACACTTTTTTAATGATAGTTTTATTTAAAATTTTGAAAACTTTTCAGATTCTTGGAGCATACTTGTCATCATCATTGATGGATAGACATGATGGACATCAAAATTTATCTTTTTTTGGCACCGGGGAAACATTTATATTTACACTTACTCCCAAATCAACTTGCTACCATTGGAACGGGTCTGAACAAGTGCGTTCTAAAGTCTCTACATATGTGTTCGTTAAACCTCATTGTTCAGATGAAGAGGATGCTTTCACGGGTAAATCAATGAAACGAAAAGGAAGTTCTTTTGTTCGAACTTTGTCGCGTAGATTTTCTAGAAGATTTTTACATACCACTCCAAGTGAAACTCCATTAGACATACCTAAAAGCACAATAAATGCAAATCATATTAAAAATAATTTTGAAGATGAAGATGATAGCCCGATATCTATTAAGCCCATTGAAAATGAATCTGCTAATGAATCAGGAGCATTAAATGAACAACCTCGAGGCAATAAGGATACAAAATTACCTTTATCTAATAAAAATGGGGTTCTTTTTCAAGATAAAACTGATGGGAAAAATGAACATGTTCCATGTGTGGGCTTTAATGAAGGTACCTTTTGTTTATTTTGTTGCTATGATTGATAAGTTAATTTACAAATATAATTTCTCTATAATATTCTTTTTTTTTTAATATATTAAAGAACAATTCGAAATAGTTAAAGAAACTAATGGTTTACCGCATAAAAGTCAAATTCATGCTGAACCTGTTGCAGATCAAGCTGTTCATAGAAGATTAAGTCCAGATAAAAATGAAACAGATGAGCATAAAAGAGTGGCATTGTACATTTCTTGTGATGAAACAAGAATGGTCATAGGAGGAGGGTATGATATTTTATTGGAGTATTCTTGTAAAAAATTACTAACAAATAAAATTCTAAATTTAATGTTTTTTAAGTAATATTTGTTTGTTTTTTAATTTTAATTTTTTTTGTTTTGTTTGACAAGTTGTGGGTGGAACAAGTTCCAGTAATGGCATTTTCTTACTGAATTATAAAATTATGAAAGACTTTTATAATACAAATTTTTTTGTAATAAAAACTTTAATGTATTATTATTTAATATATATTAATTTTTTGAAGAATAATTCAATAGAAGTATTTATGTGACTTTATGTGACTTTTAAATCATTTACTCATTTAATGATGTTTGTTGACGTGTTGGAACATTAGTTTTTATACATAGATCTTTTGGTTATCCTTTCTTACTATAAAACTATGTAAATAATTTACTAAACTTTTTCCAACTAATTAACATAACACAATAATATCTAGATAAACAGTTGGTTTTGTCAATTATTGCAATCTAACTCTTTCCTATAATCTTTTTTATTAAAAAAAATTTGCATAAAGTAAATAAGTTTAGCAATTTAAACACTTCTTGTAAGTATTTTATGAGGCAAAGTAGGAGAAACATCTTGATTAACAAATCTATGGTAATTATTAGCAGGCAACTCTTATATTACTAAACCTGTCACATTACCTTGCTCATACACCAATCAAATAAGAATGAAAATCGATTCCATTTTATCAATTAACTTTGAATCATCATTTTTTAGCTAGTTTTAAGTGTTGCTGTTTTATTCCAATAAATATGTAAAGCAAGACTATTGGAATAAAATAGTAACACCCTTAACTGCCAAAAATATTTTTTGTCTGTTGTTAGCTTTAAAAAGTGTTGCTCCTGCTGAGTCACCTAACAAAGCTACATTTATATTTTTGCTGTTTCTTCCTTTATAAAAAGCATTTTTCATTTGGTTTGATTGCTGATTACAGTTTGATCATGGTTGTTGATGAATATATTGATTAGCATCTAAATAGTAAAGTCCCAGTTGCTTTAATATCAAATAGTGGTCTTAGTAAATCCAGTCTACCATGGGGTTATTCAAAAGACAATAACCATGGGGTTATTCAAAAAATTATTTTTAGTCTCTGCAAAGTTTTTTCTGTAGCAAACTTAGTGTATGGAAATGCTATTACAAGTAAATTAAAAATAAAAGGGCGACTAGTTATTTAACAAATAAATGCTATAAATAATACATTAAGCAATTTTTTTTGAAAGTTTTAATAAAAACTTTTAAAACATATAATTAAATCTAAGTTAAATCGTTTTTTTTTTTTAATTATATTTCTAGATTTAGAAATCGGGAAAACATAATATGTTCCTATCGTCATCTTCATAATTTTCCATTTCGTTTTCTTCTTCAATTTCATTGCCCTACAGGAAATAGATAAGCAAATATACGACTGATATTTTGTATGTGACAATAAAGATAAATGATGAGAGAACACATCTTTTTTCTAATTTTCATTGTTAAAATTTACCTTGCTATTCATACATTCTGTTCCACGACATTCCCCACAAAATTGCAAGCACTGTATTCTGTATTTCCTGCACGTACATGCTTTGCCACCACATGGGTTTTTTGTTGTTGTCTTAATGAGTAGCAAAAAAGGAAATTGTATAATTATATATAAAATTTTTATATATAAGTTTTTATATATAATTATATATAAAATAATTATATATAAAATTTATAAAATTTAAATTATATAGATAAAGTTTTGTAAGATCTTTTGAAGGAGTTAAAAAATACATTAATTTTGAAACAAACCTTGCAATTGCACCTAATGACCTTTGTTAGTGCTTCTGGTGCAATGTCTTTATCATTCATTATATGTGTGATTACTCCGTCGTGTTGCTTCCAGCCCCATTCAGTTGCATCTAATTCAATGTCATTAATTAGTGACCATAACATTATTTGATAATGCGTGCGCAGGCCACGGAAGTAAGCAGTGTTATCAGTAGGTGGAAGTTTCTCTGACGATATTATACCCTTGCATGGTAAATCGATGTGTTTATTATACCTAAAATTAATATTGAAATTAAGATAATTATTTTTATACAATTAGGATTTCTATGCTAGATAGAAAATAATTACTTCAATTCTGCAAGTGTGCTTTCCTTTGTTCCTCCATATAACAAAATAAAACCTTCAATTGGGGCGTTTCCAACTTCTTCTTGATTACTCCATGGACTTGTCATTACTTCTGATATTTTTTGCCATTTCTCGTCCAAGATTTTTTCAACTAATTTTGTTTTACTTTTTCCAAACACAGACAAAACAGTGTCACACCCCAACCATGCGTGGACAAAGAGCAAGTGTTGTTTTATGGTTTTGTTTTTTAAAAAAGCATCCTTGATACTCCAAGCTTTATCCCATTTATCTTGCAAAAAGTAAATGTCAGACATGTTGCTTTTCCAATGATGAATAAGCATCACTGCGATATCTGTGTCATCCGCCACAACAGTTACATGCTGCAAGCATGTAACTGTTGCGATATCAAGAGCGGTTTTAACAACGGTACTATCGGTACCGTTGTTTAAACCGCTAACTAACGGTAACGGTACTATGATATCTACTAACGGTACTATGATATCGCAAACAACTAACTAACGGTAACGGTACTATGATATCGCAAACAACTAACTACGGTACTATGATATCGCAAACAACTAACTAACGGTAATGGTACTATGATATCTACTAACGGTACTATGATATCGCAAACACATGCTGCAAGCATATGTTTGCGATATCAAGAGCGGTTTTAACAACGGTACTATCAGCATCACCAGGGCAGTTTACAGTCAAATACCCCAATTGATTTAATGATGTGAAAGAAAGTTTATGAAACTGGCTTTTTTTCAATATTACTTATAAAACGATCCTGAGTAAACGACTCAAGTTTATCTTGGTTAATTACTACATTGCAGCTTTTTGAAATAGAATTTCTGTGTAGATGCACTTTACACTAGTGTTCTATATATCTCTATTGTTATATTAAGTGTTTCATTAATTAGTGCATGAACAATGTTCTGTTCTTTGAGAAATTGTTGAAATGATTTTTCAAGTTTTAAGTAGCAATATAGGCTTTTTTTTTTTTAAGTAATGCCTATCTAATCATGTCTCTTATTACTCAAAAATCTACACCAGCAGTAATAGTGCTGTTAGGAACTTGCTTGCATTAAATAACCCAGTAAGCTTAGCAACCTAATTAACAGTTGTTGTTTTTATTCAATAGTTATTTAAATTATGTAAAAAATCTTTTGTTGTAAATGTAATAAGTAGCTTTTTACAAAAAAATTGAATGATGAAAGCTATGGTTTTATAAAACTTGGTAGCTTTATGCTGTCTATTGCCATACCTAAACAAACTTTACTAAGTGCTTATAATCAACTTTTGTAAGCATTCAAACTTTTTGCAAGTTGAAAAAAGTACCCATCACAGTTTTTCACTTGCTTCATTTGGCGTTCAAAAGTTTCATATCGACATATCTTTCTTTTTTAGTGATTTTTTTTTACTTAATTATTTGTTAAACATTATTCACACTAATATCAAATAAGTACTTAATTTCACTTTTAAAGTTGTTTTTCGTTTCTAAATTTTGTTACTTTTTTTCTATGATCTTTAAAGCACAAAATCTACAAATCTTACAAATACTTCTACAAATAGAAATAACCATATTAATTGTGTAGTATGAATATTTTAATGTTTACAATTCCCAAGACTGAGGGAGTCACTACAGTTGAGGAGACTTCCTTTTTTTTCTTGTTTTTAATTTTTTATTGTTGCTATAGCTCTCTCGTGATTGTATATCTCCAAAATAAGAATCTAGAATCATTTAAAATTTAGCATCATACTACCATTGCTACTTCTTGCTTATAAAGTAAACGTTTTAAACCTGCACAGATTTTTACTTATAATATTTACTTATTCTAAGACTATATGAATAAGTCTTAGTGTAAGTTAAAAAGCTTCTTACGGGTTATGCATAAGTCTTTGAACTTTTTTTAAAACTGATTTAAATAAGGAGAGTAATTTTTCAACAAGGAATATTAAAGTCAACTATATTTAGTATTCTTGCGAGGTATGAGAAGTATGGTGTGTATAATGATTTGGTTAGATCAGGTTGTCCTCCAAAAATGGATAAGGAAAAAGTCAAACGATTGACTAAAATGCTAAATAATTCAACTGGTATTAGTCAAAAGTATTTAGCTTCATATTTTAAGATGAACCAAAGCACAATTTCAAGAACTATTAATTTCAAAACAGATATTAAATCCTACAAAAAACAAAAAGCACATTTGTATGAAAAAGATCAACAACAGAGAGCAGCAACATCATCGAGAAGATTAGTTAATAAAAAATCATCCATGATTATCTTTTTTCATGAAAAAGATAATCATGGATGACAAAAAACCTATCAAACTCAAATATACCTGGAAATGATATATATTATACAAATAATAAATTGTTAGCCCCTGATAATGCAAAATATAAGTTGAAAAAAAAAATTCGAAGAAAAGGTATTGGTTTGGATTTGCATTTCTTCAAATGGATTTTGTGAACCTTATATACATAGATCAAAGAATTCAATAACATCCAATATATATGTGAAAGAATGTATGAAGAAAAGACTTATACCATTTGTTAGACAACATCATAAAGATAATAATTTTGTGTTTTGGCCAGATCTTGCAACTGCTCATTATGCTAATAAAACAGAAAATTGGTTTATTGATAATTCCATAGAATTTGTACAAAAATGCACTAATCCACCAAATGTTCCACAGGCTAGACCAATTGAAACATTTTGGGCTATTTTAATTCAGATGGTATACAGTGATGGTTGGAGAGCACGTAGCATATATCAACTAGTTTGAAGAATAAAGAGCAAATTAAATGAAACAAAAGAAAATGATCCAGATCTGTTACAAAGACTAATGATGAGTGTTAAAACAAAACTTAGAAAAATCGCTGATAGGGGCGTCTATTCAATATGTTAAATATATTGATAAATACTAGAATGGATGTTCTTTATTACTATATAGTTTCATTTTTTTATCTAACTAACAAAATTTTTTTACGACTCTATAAAAAAAGTTCGAAGACTTATGCATAACCCGTTTGTTATAAATAACTGTTAATAGAGATTAATTTTAAAAACAGTTATATGTAATGTAATTTATTAAATTTATCTATTATATTGGTCAGTTATTATTGGGATTGAATTTTTATTCCAAATATTTCTCAGTGAAAAAACAATGCACACGCTTTAAAAATTTTTTATTTATTTATTTAAGATTTAGAGTAATTTTAAATGAGATTTATTGCAAATCTCAATTACAATAAGGTTAGGCTTAAAAAAATGTACAAATAAAAATATTTTTGGTTTTAATTTTATAAGGGTGTTTATTCTATCAAAGTATAAATCTTTGTATGGCGCATATATATATATATATATATATATATATATATATATATATATATATATATATATATATATATATATATATATATATATATATATATATATTTATATTTATATGTATATATAACTTTACGTAGAGACGGAGAAGGCATTGCTATAGATGGAGATATTCACACTGGTCGTTCAACATGGTGTAGAACGTTTGATAATGATCCGTTATCATCTGGGGAGCACGGTGATTTTACTATAATACGTTTGGATGTGTTTGGATTTCATTAGCAATTATTGTAAATGGGTTTGAAAACTTTTATGAAGACTTATTTTTTTATTCTTAATTTAATTAAAGGATATTGCTTGTTTTAAAGCTAGAATGGAACCCCTGTTTCTTTAATATGTAATGCCGGCACTGTGGTGAAGATGGGCTCCTAGCTCCTCCACTTAATTACAAATATTTAGGTTTATTCAGCAAATTTGCGCGAAAGTTTTTTTAAGGTAATATACTTTTTTTCTTTCATTCGAAAACATAGATAACTTAACATTTAACAACGTTTTCTGATTTCTCATATTTTAGTGTGAATTTTAAGCAATCTTATAATTTTTATCGTAATTTTACACTGCGATTTTTTAATGACAGAAAATTATTATCTTTCGCTATTAGTTTTTTAGAATTGTTTGTCTTTTTTACATATATACACTTTTTTATTTATCATTTCTTTATTATTTTATTTTTAACGTCTGCTTACAAATTTTTGTTTGAGTTTAAGAGTTTATTTTGTGCTTATTTTTCTATGGTTTTCTTATTGATTTTATTTTGTTTTCAGTTTTATAAATATTTAAAAAAGGTTATTTAAAACTATTATATACATTTTTTTCGATGTTTCGAAGTGAGGGCTAAAGGTTTTTAATTTGTTTCACGCATAACTTTTTTATTAATTCTGTTTGCATAAAATGAGATTTTTGTTTTCTATATGTTTTATTTTTATGTGACTTTTATTTGCAATATATATATAAAAAAAAACTAGATTATATTATACTATTTAACAGATAATATTTTTTTTTTTTAAAAAAAAAGTTTTGTATTTTATTATAAGTTTGGAAGTAATGATATTTTAAACTTTAAGTTTGTATTCATTTCACTAAGAAGAAGACTTTAATTTAAAATCTTGAAAAAAAATGTGCCTGATCCTTGATGAATCCCATGACGGGTTCTACAATACTGAACGATAAAATCTCATTTTTTAAAATCGTTACTTTTTTTTTATTTGAATATTATTTGTATTGATATATTTTGATTATATTTAAAAAAATAATTAAAAAGATGAAGAAATAAATATATAAGATATCAAATAAATAATGATTATATACCACATTCCTAGTATTTATGTTTATTTTATTCATCGTATCTACGTTTATTTTGTACATTCATTGGGTTTATGTTAATTTTCGATACTATTGATCTTTTCATAAATAAACGTCCGAAAAACTCAAAACGAGGCTTAAGATGTACTGTTGATAAACAAGCCAAATGGCTTCTAATAAAAAATATGTATAAGAATATCTACTGAAAAACATTGTGCTGCCTTTAACTGCTGCAATCGAAGTTATAATGTTGAATGCTTAAAACGCAAGAGTTCTGGCATTGAATTTTTTATTTCCCTAAACATAAAAATAAAGTTTCTCCTTAGCGTAATTTGATAAAGCAAAAAAACGGTTTATATGGTTTTAATGTAACTGGCTCATTATATCATTTGTACTCGTATATTAAGCTAGAGGAAGTTTAAAAGCTTCTGAATTTATTAAATACTCTTTACAAAAAGGTGCTAAATCATTTGTAGCAGGAATAATTTTTAAGCTAGTGGAAAAGAAAATAAACCATTGGCTTTTAAACAATTTCCTCCACCCAAAAAAAAAAAGTGGACTGGTAAATAGGGAACTGTTCATCAAAAGTTTAGAAATAAAACAGTTTTAAAATAAAAACAAAAAAAGAAAGCAACAATAGCAAATGAAGGCAATAAATTATTAACATTACACAAAATTTCCAATAGAAAAATATTGATTCCGGAGAAAATGGAGAAAACATTGTTTTATAGCAAGCGTTTACAAGATAATGGAAGTAGTAGAAATTTGAATTCTGTTACCACTATAAGCATAAATAATAACTAGAACAATTAAAAAGAATTATTATTCATGTAATGTTTCTTTTTTCTGTATGTAAAGGACTTATGAGTAATATTATTATTATAACTTGGTTGAGTTTTATATTGATAAAGCTGTTCAGCCTAAGCTTATGTCCTTTATTAAATTAAATATAAATTAGATATGCCTCAGTCAGAAGTTTCGCAATGTTTAGTATTATTGATTGTGTAGATATAAAAATAACTGTACCTCGTTCATTAATAATGCATAAAGTCACACTATTGTGAAGGTTTTAGTTGGCACTGCCCAAGGTGTATCAAGGTGCCCAAGGTACTTTTATATCTGTTCTCAAGATTTAAATACTAATACAGAGAAGAATTTATGATTGAATTTATTATTTGTTAAGATTGAGTTTATTATTTATAAACGACAAATTGATTCTTCTTCAATATAATTCAATTTAAATATATATACCATTTTTTTTAGCATAAATTTGTAAATCCATATTTTATACAACAGACTGAGAACATATCAATAAAATATTTATGTTCAAATTAGTCTATTGTTTTTTATTTTTGAATTAATTTAGATAAAATAACACTGGTAAAGGATTTTTTTATTTTTTTTTTATTTTGTCACCATAAGCAATATTGTATTCCAAACTTTTAAATCCATTATGAGATTCATTCCATTATGAAAATATTGTAAAATTTTAATTTGAGAGTCTCGTAATGTACAATAATACTATCGCCTGGGTAAAGTACCTCCTTTGAAATAGCCATCTTTTAAAATGATAACTTATATACGATTGTTTTAGCTGCAAAATTTTCAAATTTATCATCATCATTGAAAACCTCATCTGATGTTGTATATTCAGCACTTTCAATCTGAGTTTTACACCTGGTAACATCATCTAATAAAGTATACTCAGCATTTGCATTTTGAGAATTATTATTCTCAAAGCAAATGATATCCGAATTTATCAAAACACATGTAGAACTTTGAGGTATATCACACATATCGTCGGGGATAGTGCAAATCCGCGTAACTAGCATGGCTACTATATCTGGATATTATTAATTTTAATACCAAATATTTATTGATTACAAAAAACATGAATAATACTCTTTTTACTGAAATGAACCCAAAATCAGTTAAAATAAAAAAATTAAAAAAGTAATCCTAACCCTAACCCTGATCCTAACCCCCGACGATATGTAAAACAGCTGCTCTATGTACTTTCAATGCAGACGATAAACTAAAACAATATAACTACTACTTAACATACTGCTAACCCAAATGAACCAATTACAGAACACAAATAGACTAATTACAGAAAACAATTACAGACTATGAAACTTTTTCCATTGTTTTGCTATGATTATATATATACATATATATATATATATATATATATATATATATATATATATATATATATATATATATATATATATATATATATATATATATATATATATATATACATATATATATATACATACATACATACATACATACATACATACATACATACATACATACATACATACATACATACATACATACATACATACATACATACATACATACATAAATACATACACAAAAATTTTCTGTTTTTGGTTATAAATTGGATGTGATTCGACATATATATTTGTATATATTATTTTCTTTCAAAATAATTCAAAATTCAAATAAAAATTCTGTTCCAATATTATAAAATATATCAAGAAAATTGTAGGTAACTTTAAGAGAATATATATATTCAATGAAAGTATGATAAAGACATTGAAATTCTTAGTACTGTTAAATGGTCTAGATTTTTAAATTTATGGTGCTAATTTAGTTTAAAAAATTTTAAAGCTTTAAAAGTGACATAGAAGATCTGCTATATTAAAATCCGTAAGTACTAAATAACGTCTTAATTTAGATTTGAATTGCGGAAGTATTTTTTCTTTAATATTAACAATATGCTGAAAGTTTTTCCACAAAATTGGACCCCTGTACTGAATAGAATAAGAACATAACTTTAAATTATACTTTTGAGTTACAAAGTTATTTTCTGAGAACTTGGTGGGGTATTTATGGCTTACTTCTCTAAAATAAGGATAGAATATCGCTGGAGACAGCCCATGTTTTATTTGATACATGAACTGTATGACGAGGAATATGTTAATTTTAAACACATTTAATGCATTGAGTTTACGTAAAAGTGGCTCACAAGGCACAGTTCTTTTTACTCCAAATACAATTCTACATGCATGTTTTTGTTTAATATAAATTTTCTTTAACTTAGCGTAGCTGTTGCTTGCCCATACGATATTGCCGTAAGTTAGATAGCTATGTATGAAGGAAAAATATAAACTTTTTAGAGATCTTATATCCAAAAATGGTTTTGCTTTATACATCATTGCAATGTTTATTGAAAGTTTTCTTTCAAAAGTGTTTATATGTTTCCTCCATGTTAAATTTTCGTCTAAAATAATACCTAAAAAGTTTACAGTTGTTTGCCTAGTGATATTTATATTATTGATTTTAAGATTGTGTAATTTTAAAGGAAGGTTTCCTGTTTTGGTTGGTTTGTGAAATAGAATAAATTTAGTTTTGTTAGCGTTAAGTAAAAGTTTATTACAAATAAACCATTCATTTACTTTGTTTACTTCTTCATTAACTACTTTAAAGAGGGTTTTAATATCCCTATGAGAATAAAACAGATTGGAGTCATCAGCAAACAAAATAAAGTTTAGTATGTTCGAGGTAAGAGATAGATCATTTATATAAAGAGAAAACAGTAACGGTCCTAAGATTGAGCCTTGAGGAACTCCACATTTTATAATACTTTTTGTCGTTTTAACATTTTCATATTGAATGTATTGCTGTCTGTTTGATAAGTAATCTTTAAACCATAGTAAATTATTGTTTTTTATTCCATAATGTTCAAGTTTTTTTAAAAGAATGACATACATACATACATACATACATACATACATACTATTAAACGTATTATAATATTTTAATATATAATACGTTTTAAAAACGTGTCAAAAACACGTGATAATTGCAACGTGTTTACGGCGTTTATAACACGTTTGAAAAAGCTTTGGACGAAAAAACCAAAAAAGTTACGTTACGTGTTGTGCTTACAGGGAGGAGGCTACTATAATTGTGGTAACAATTAAGTAAAAACGCGCGTTAATTTTAAAACCAACTAATAAAATTTTTTTATTGATTTATTTTAATCAACTAATTAAATAAATGTTTGCCTAAATGTTGGTTTTGGTCTTAGACCATTAAAACTTAGTTTTAATGGTTTAAGACCATTAAAACTTAGTTTTAATGGTCTAAGGTTTTGGTACAAAAGCTCGGTTTATTTCGGTTTCAGCCTATTTCCTGTTTTAATCGATCACCATTTAAAACACTCTTTCATTAGTGATGTAATATTCGGGGATGATGTGGTCAACCAGGGTTGCCATCTGGTGTTTTTTAAAGCCAGATTTCTCAAATCTGGTTTGTTTTTTTATCGTTTGGCTTGGAACTTTTGTTTTGGTTTATTTCAGAAAATCTGGTTTAAATCTGGTTTATTTTAAAGTTTTTGGTCTTTTTTTGTTTTTTTTTCTGGTATTTTTTTTTAAATCTGGTTTAATTCTGGTTTATTTAATAAAAAATTCAATTTAATTAAGTTTTTGTTTCATGAAAAAGGTTAATTTGAGTAAAACATTTCCATTTTTTCATTTTATAGAAGATCAATCAAGTTTAAAATAAATGGAAGAAATGCTTACATAAAAATCTTAAAACGTTAAAAACTTTTACTTTTAATGTAATTAAAATGTTAATTTTATCCCTTAATTGCCAAAAATATTAAAAAATTCTTATATTCAAAATGATATTTTTTGAGAAAAATTTACCTGTAATGAATGATGTTTCCCAAGTTGAAAAGGCCATTTCAAATCTACAATTTTATCTTATGAATGAAAAAAGTGAAGAAACTGAAAATCATTACAGAGATCGTCATCAATCATAAATTAATTGACATTGCATCATAGAGCGAGTCTAAAAACTTTTAAGAAAAATAAGTTTCTAAAGACGCCGCTGAATTTTAAACTGCTTCGTGAGACCATTTAGAAGTTTCCGGAGAATTAAATTTCTGCAATATAGATGCTCACTGCAATGGCTGTCTATGTGTTCTGTTTCTAACTATTTTGTTGAGTCTTCTCACAGGTCATCTGCATAAAAATCAGACTAAGAAAAAATCAAACCAAGCCTTGCTTGCAAGGATGGATTTTTGGATAAAAAAGCATTTTTTCAAAATATAAATTATAAACAAGGCTTTGAAACAAAAAATTATGTTTTTTTTCTTTTTTCTATAAACCTGGTTTATTTCTGGTTTATTTTTGTTTCATTTTTGGCTTGTGCCCGAAAAAAGACTTGGCAACCCTGTGATCAACATCAATGCGCGTCGGGACATAATTAAGGCAGCAAACGCAAACAATTTAAATCATTTCATTTTTTAACTTAAATTAATTTTGATTATAATCAATTATTTAAAAAGATATTTTATTAAAATAAATTAAATAGGATACGATTTATTATTCCTTTAGACAATATTTCAACAAAAATATTCTGTTTGATGTTCTGGTGACTTCATTTTGAAGAAAAATATATATCTAGAGCGCTCGAATTGGCTTAAGACTACTGTTTCTTCTAAAAATGCCTTTAAACTTTTGAAAAAAACAATATCTTTATCAGTTTCAAAGACTATTCGAAATTCTCCTAGTAAGAGTAATTTCAAAAAAATCAAAAAACTTCTATGAAGACTGGTACTCTAACAAGTTTACGTGACTTAAAAAAGGTTGTACTATTGTTTTACATTGTGTTATGAAAGCATGTTATATTTTTGATATTGATATTATATGCATAGATTGTTAATATTTGATGCTCACATTAAGGTACTAAAAAATTTCATTTTTTTAAAATTATACTTGAACTGATGTGTATAAAGTTGTTTTTTTATACATTCAAAAAAAGTGCTAATGTTTTTTTTGAAATTAATTTTGTTCAAATTGTTTTTTGTAATATGTCATGTGGTTTATGTTGTTGCATATGATAAGTTATGTTGAAACAATCTATTAAATGCTATACTGGTTAAAGAACATGAGGAGAGTTTACAACAGGATAAAAATGAGGAAGAAAGTGCATCATTTTGGGAAAAAAGTTAACCTTTGTTCTCCAGGGTGTAAACATACCAAAATTGAGGTGATATGCAGCATGGTTCACACTTTGCAGCTAGAAAAATTTGATGCTTTAATAGAAAAACAGACTACCTAACTTTTGGCAAAGGTCTGGTATGTAGTGAAAAAAGATGTAGAATACTGTATGAAGAGGTTCAGATATATGAGCAAAACAAGTTTTAAAAGCAATAGAAAAAAAAAAAAAACTTATGAAAGAGATTCCAAAAATAAAAAAATCAAGAAATTATAAAAACAGCTGAATCACTGAATCATCTTCAGCACTTCAGTTTTAGGTGTATCTAATTATGATGAAGAAGAAAACAATTTTGAAGGAGGAGAAAAAAGAGAAGTGTGACCAAAATTAATTTTTTAAATGAAACTACTTTTAATACAAACTTCATAAATAACAGTAAAGTCATTCATGAAATATTTGACTGCTGGACACGATGATTTTTTTTACTTATATATATATAATTAAGAAGTTGGTCAGATCCCTAGCTCCAAACTGAAACTTAATGCTTAATAAAATTTGAAAAAACAGGCGCATTTCTTGAAATTTGGAAAAAATAAATGCTCTACCATTTTTCAAGAGTATTTAACAGTTATTAGTTAAACAGAAATTAAAAACAAAACAATCAGGTTTAAAAATAAATTAAGCTGTAAAACTGCTTCAACAGCTGCAATTGACTTTGCAACTGCTTCAACAGCTTCAAGTGATAACTTTTATCAAGACTTGAGCATATTATTGTGTTACCAACAAACCAACAAATAAACCAACATTTTAAAATTAATATTAGGAAGGTCAATAATGTTTATAAGTAACAACTCAGGGTTATGGATTGATCCTTATAGTATTCTAGAGTTTACTGACAATATAGGGGAGTGTTGAACATCAAAAATGATTTGATACTGTGATTGCAAATATAAATTTTCTAGCTACGCCATATGAAGAGAGCATATAGGCGATAGTTTTTAACAAGAATGTTGGTAGGATCACAAGCTGTAGATAAGTTTAGATGAAAAATAACTTAGGCAATAAAAGCCAGTGTGCTGAGGATGCCTAGTGGTATACTAAACTGTTTCTCTGGGATGTTAGAAAGAATGTTTGCTATTGCATTTTTTTGATGTACTTTAAAGCTGTATGTATTTGTCTCCTTATTAATAACATCTATTTAAAGAAAATTTATTGGGCCTATCATCAACATATTGTTAAAAACAACACATTGTTGAAGACATATTTTTAGGTAGCTCATTCTAAACTTAAATAAAAATCAGTAATCTTTAATATTTTCTTTTTATAGATACAAATAGATTGCAAAAAAGACAATGACTGGTATACTACAAGATTGTGTCAATAAAAGTGCTCATGCTTCAGTTACTGTTTTGGAGCAACCCAACCTTGATATAAAAAAAAAAGATTATCTTGAAAATGTTTTAATTAAACACAGTGTTGCTTATATTACACCTAAAGAGTTTAAAAAAATTAAAATTATAGTCCGTAAGGGTATTCCTATGGAACAGAGAAAACAATATTGGTTGTTATTTTCTGGCGGTAAAGAGGTTTTACAGAATACTCCAAATTTGTTTCAAAAAGCTTGTGATGATCTTCTTGGAGAAAGTAAGCATTAGTTTTTAGTTTTTTAAATAAAGGGTTACCATTGTCCTATTTATTCCATAGGAGAATAAAAACTATAATTAGTTTAGTGCAAACCTGTCAAATCTCCCCCATTTTGTAGGAGTCTCCTGAATTTTGAAGTGCAATAACCCTCCCTCATAAATATAAAAATTAAGAACTCCCTCTTTCTCATTAGCCTTATTTTAAATATGATCTATCACTTAAAAGTATTACCAAGAACATTTAAAATGCAAATAGTTAACGGTAAAATGTGTTTATGATGATATAAATAAATGATAATATTTCAAATATGTTCACTCAGTCTAATTTTAAAGACCTATTTCTTATAATGGCAAAGAGATTAAATGGGCAAAAAAAAAGTCTCCCTCAAAACCAATTTCGAAAATGTGACTGTCCAGGTCAGGTTATTCTGCTACTGATAACATGTAATCCAGTACAACCTATTTTTTGTCCTGCTGCCTTGTAGGATATACGTTTTTTTGGGCTTGGTTGAGTAAATGCTAGAGATGGTGTCTCGATAAAAATACTCATCTTAGGCAGATGTTAAACGCATCCTGGCTAATGTCTTGTAGAAGGCCTCCTAGGCAAAGACTTAAGGGGTAAATAGATCTATCTGTTGACCAGCCTTGCATCCCTTCCTCATCTATTAGCTCTCAGAGAGGCTGATTCCATCAACAGCTGAAAAATATCAGAGTACTGACAGTGCCGTGTTGCGCATGGGTGGTGTCCCTGTTCATACTTTTGGTGTGCATTCTTGAGGCCACATTTGGAGCCCTTTTTTACAGCTTATATTTTTTTTTATAGTAATGAGACAATTGCTTGGACTATTAAATAGCCCAAGTAGCAAACAATATTGGCGCAATATTGGGGCGATATTGTTTACAATATTGGCGCAATATTATAAACTATATCTGGCCAATATTGCAATGTGAACATTTTGCCAATATTGGCCAATATTGGTGCTACAATATTGCGCCAATATTGGTGCTACAATATTGCGCCAATATTGTAAAGCCAATATTGGCCAATATTGGCGATAAATTATTGCGCCAATACTGTAAAGCCAATATTGGCAAAATGTTCACAATGCAATATTGGCGCGATAATGCTTAAAATAATGCGCCAATATTGTAAATAATATCGCCCCAATAATGGGGATATAATACCAGCCAATATTGGCGTAATATAGTTTACAATATTATCCTAATATATATAACTATAATAAGGCAATATATTGAGTATTTTCGATTAAATTTTATTATTAAAAAATAATAAAAAATATTGCTGTCTACAAATTTTTAATAATTAAAATTTATAACAGTTTTCTTGTTTAAGTGATACTATAGTACTAGGCTGCATTATTCTTTTGAGTTAAACAGGTCTAGGAGATGGCAATCTAGGAGATGACAATGATCATAGAACACACTTTAAGAAAGAAAAAAATGGAAATCATTAAATTTATTAAAAGTTATATGAAACAGATACAAATGAAAAAAAGAGGTACAGAGTTTTCCCAAACTAAAATATAACAAAATAAAATCAATGTTATTTAAATACAGGTACAAAAAATATGTATATATATAAACTACTGCATTATACTCTCACTATAAGATAGTGGGCATCGACTTTCATTATTTTAGCGATACTTATTTCATTGCTCAGTATTGGGGATTGCTCAGTTACGGTTCTATTTTTCTTCCGTAATCTCTATTAATGGTCGTCGCCAGAAAGCTGCCAATTTTTTCTTTAATACTTTTGTCAGTAGCGATTTCGAAATGAACGAATACAACGATGACTAAACGCAACATTAAAAAATTATTTTTCAATTTCATCACAGTATAATTTTGAAATATATAATTTTTCACGTATAAATATTTTAAAACAATTAGCTTTTAATAAAATATTTATTTATTAAAAAGAAATGGGATGTAGAATACAAATATTGTGCATGTAAGTTGTTTCTCATCTCCTCTAACTGAAGAAAGAAAGTTCATCTAAATTAAGAAAACAAATGTAATAAAATTGGTTGTACTAAAAGTATAATGGCTCCTCATGTGTATGTATTAGACGGTTTTCCATAATGTGATTCTGATTAAAATATGATATTATGGAAGAGTAAAAGCAATTGCTTATAAATAGATTAGGTTAACCTTTTTTGCAGATCAGGACTGATTTTTTTTTATAAAACTTTTATAATGTAACACTAAGAAGAATTTCATACAGGTTTGTGAGCTTCTCCTACCCTTGACCACTATTACACAGTAGTATAAAATTCTCCAAGATGTTGTATTCACCATAGCAAAAAGCTGTGGTAAATACACCCTACAGATGTCATAGATATCTGAGATTAGTAGTCATTGTTACAAAAAATACATTGCAAACTGGGCATAAAAGATAAAAAACACAATAAAATGTAATAAGCATTTACATAAAACATTCTGATATACAACATAATTATAGTAAATCACGTATCATATTGTATCATTTGTTTGTATGTTGTATGTAAAAAATTAGAAACTTTAATAGTACATGGCACTGTTTTGAACTATTAACTAATATTAGTTCATTGATACATACTATTGATTCATAAGGTGTCTTTGTTCCATAATTTTTCTTCGAGGTTTAGAAGATCTTTTTTCCTCTATAACCGACAAATAAATTCAATAAATCAAAAGAGATTGTCAAGCATCATCAGTGTCACTTATTTTGTAACCTGCATCCTTTTAAACTGGAGGCACAGATAATTCTGTTCTAAAGCAGTCTCATAACTGTCAAAAAAAAAGTATAAAGAAGAGATGAAACCATACTAAACAATCAACATTTACTATATTTGAGTTAAATATAGCTGTTTAGATAAAAAACAAAGACAATATTGTAAATAAAACAAAAACAATATTGTAAATAAGACAATTACCAAAAGAAAAAATTCTTATTTTCAGCTGCTTTCAGTTACTTTTAAAAGCATGACTTCACGTATGGCAGCCTAAAGACAAGATGCTTGCAAGCGATTTGGCCAATACACCAAACTTTCATTAATCCAATATGAAAAACTGATTACATTCATGGCACACATATTGCTTTTTCATTGAAAAATTCAGACAAAGCAAATTTTGTAAACTTTATTGCCTCCTTCAGTTTAACGGTACATTAGCTAAAAAATAAAGTAGACATAGCTGCAAGAATCAAGGTGAGGACAAACATGGAAAATAAACAAAGTACGAAATGTCAAGATATTGAGATTGGCAAATGTTCTTTTGATCATTCCAACAATTTTAATGGCGGTGTTATTCTTTGTACTTACATAATAAAAGTCAAATTAGAGTTTTTTAAAATTGAAGTATTAAAATTTTTATCGACAAGTACATAAATAAATTTTGTATTTGTTGGTGCTAAGGGTATGACTTTACATTTTTTTACATTAAAACTTTTTAAGTTTTCTTAATTTTGCCCAGTTTGCTATATGTCCATACTTTTTTGCAGGTTATTGCATGGTGAGCTATCAAAAAGTAAACTGTATAACTTAGTATCATCTGTAAATACAGATACAACATCTAAAACCAAATCAGAAAAATCATTAATATATATCACAAAAGTAAATATTATCCATTCTGAGTATGTACTACCAACAATGATACTCTAATGCCGATCTCTTAGGTAACATACAAATCCAATTGTAGAGTTTGTCATTTATTCTATAAGCTTTTAATTTTAGAAGTAGGAGATAGTTGTGAAATGTGTCGAAAGCTTTCGATATATCTAGATATAAATTTTCTATATCAATTTTATTCTCCAAGGCTAATGTCCAACATCAATCCTCACTAAAGTTTATTGCATTTTCAAAGACGGATTTATATAATTTTTACTATTTTCAGCAATACTTATTGTGTGAATTTAACTTTAATCTTGTTTAACTACTCTTAATATAATGTGATGTAGTAGATCTAGTTTAACTTATTGATTTATTTATTACCTGTAACATTGCATTAAACTATTGCATAAAATAAAATGCTATATAAAATAAAAGACATTATAAAAAAAAACTTTTTATTGCAAAATTACTATCTTGTAATAAATTTGTTAGTGCGTGTGTGTGCCTATGTGTCTGTGTGTGTGAAGGTCAATAATATATATATATCTATATATATATATATATATATATATGTATATATATATATATATATATATATATATATATATATATATATATATATATATATATATATATATATATATATATATATATATATATATATATATGGGCATTTCCAAAAAAAAACGCACAGAAACTCGTATATGTTTTTACTTTTATTTTCATAAAAATAAAACTAGCGATCTCCAATTTTTTTTTTTTTTTTTTATTTGCATTCACTCCCAACAAGGCTGCAAGCAACCACTATTAAGTTGGGAGTTACTGGGAAAAAAAAAAGAACAGAGTTATAGAGCAAGGAAACGGTTGACAGAAGACTTGAAAAGTTGAAGGTTGTATGAGTCAGGAAAACATGAAGATGGGAGAGAATTCCTAAGGATTGAAGTGCGAGGAAAAAAACTAGATGAATAAAAGTTTTTAGAGCATGCAGAGACAGATACAGTAAACGAATAAGACTTAGCTTAATGACAAATAAAACGAGAATGAATTTTAGTTGATGGAACTAGAGATAATAACTCCTTTGAGCAGTGACCATGATAGTATCTGTAGAAAAGAGAAAGAGATGCAACTTTACGACGATGGGAAAAAGGTTCAAGCTTAGCAGATAGTTCAGGTCCAACAACATTTACAATGCGTTTTTGGACCTTGTCAAGAAGAGAAAGTGAATCGTTAGAAGAACCAGCCCAAATATGACAACAGTATTCCATACAGGGACGAATAAGAGATTTCTAGAGGTAGAGAATGGAATCAGAAGTAAGGAAATGGCAAGCACGATAAAGAGAAGCAACCTTAGCAGAAGCTAATTTAGCAATCGATTGTATATATGGTTTCCATA